ATGTTTATCGCAGCATTGTTCACAATAGCAAGAACCTGGAAGCAACCATGCTGCCCATCAAAAGAGGATTGGATTAGAAAAATGTGGTACATATACACGATGGAATACTACGCAGCCATAAAAAAGAACAAAATCATGAATTTTGCAGCAACCTGGATGGAACTAGAGTCTATAATACTGAGTGACCTCTCACAAAAACAAAGGTCCGAGTATCACATGTTTTCACTCATATAATGGAACTTGAACATCCAATCTAATACTATAAGAAAATGACTGACAGTAGTGGGAAACTATGGGCGGGGGAGGGAGATGGGATTAACGAGCAAATATCTGTCTGGGGATGGGGAAGCTCCTCTAATCAATAGGGTGCCTGAATGAAATGTATTTGTATACCTAACCCTTAACTGTACCCCACAACATCATAATAAAAAAATATTGATTATTGAAAAAAAAAACAAAAACCACTGCCTCATGGGGAGGTATTGTACTCTCTGAAATCAGCAATGTGAATGGGCTCAAAGAATATACAGTGCCCTATCATACATACTTCTAACAGTATAAAAGTATGCAAGTAAAAGTCACGAGAAATCCTACTGTGCAGAGCTAGTTAATATTTGATGACGGTATACAATTTTATGTAATAGGAAAACACTATACGGTGAATGCTGTCTTTTGACTTGCTTTAGTCATTTATATACCAGTAAATATAAATCTAGAACATTAAAAACAAAAACAAAAACAAAGTGGTTGTACCATTTTGCATTCCTACTAGCAGTGAATGAAAGTTCCTTTTGCTCCATATCTTTGCCAGCAATTGGTGCTTCGGTGTTCTGGATTTGGGCCATTCAAATAAGCATGCAGTGGTATCTCATTGTTGTTTTAATTTGCATATCCCTGATGAACAATTACATTAAGCATCTTTCATATGCTATATGCCACTCATATATCTTCTTTGGTGATGCACCTCTTGAGGACTTTGATCCATGTTATAATTGGATTGTTTGTTTCATATTGTTAATTTAAGACTTTGTATCATTTGAGTAATTGTCAGATAATGTATTTTGCCAATATTTTCCTCAATAAGGAATATTGACTTATTATCTTGAGAACAAAGTGTCTTTTACAGGGCAGAAATTTTAATTTAATGAATTCCAGCTTATCAATTATTTTTCTCCTGGTTCATAATTTTGGTATTATATCTAAAAAGTTATTGCCACACCCAAGGTCATCTAGGTTTTCTCCTATGTTATCTTCTAGGAAGTTTATAGTTTTACATTTTATGTTTGGAGTTATGATTCATTTTGAATTAATTTTTGTGGAGAGTATAAAGCTTATGTCTAGAACCATTTTTTTCACATTCACATATGAATATCCAGTTGTTTCACATCTTTTGTCAAAATGACTATCTTTGCTGCATTGTGTTGCCTTTTTTGTGTGTGTGTGTGTGTCAAAGGTTAGTTGACTATATTTATGTGGGTCTAATTCTGGGCTCTCTATCTTGTTCCTTCATCTATTTCTCTATTCTTTCACCAATATCTCACTGTCTTGATTACTGCAGCTTCTTTAAGTAGGATAGTGGTGGTTTTTTCACTTTGTTCTTCCCCATTAATATTGTGTTAGCTATTCTGAGTCTTTTGCCTTTCCATATGAATCAGTTTGTTGATATCCACAAAATAATTTGCTGGGATTTTGACTGAGAAAATGGTAGACATACCCTTCCCATGCAATAAAGCAATTGTACTTTTTTGTATTTACCCAAAAGTATCTACACAAAAAACCTGCAATCAGATATTTATAGAAACTTTATTCCTATGCATATGTGTGTGCATCTTGTATACATGTATATATAATTTAAAAATATTTGTATGCACATGAATGTACATATTCGTGTGTGTGTGTGTGTGTGTGTGTGTGTGTGTGTGTGTGTATTATCAATTCACTCACAGAAATTTACACTACAAAGTCAAATGTTTGAAATTAAAATTAGGAGTGTGGCTAACAATTCTGAAAACATTGGATATGTGTGTTAGCCAGTGTTCTGAAACAATAGGATACACATATACCTGAGAGAAAGAGGAAGAAGGAGAGGGAGAGGGAGAGGGGGAGAGAGAGAGAGATTCTAAAGAATTGACTGATGTAATTTTGGAGGCTGGCAGTTCCCAAGATGGCAAGCTGGAGACCAAGGAGCACCAGTTTTTAGTTGAAGACTCAATCCCAGGACATAAGAATTAGAAGATCCAATATTGTAATTCTAGTCCAAAAAACAGCATGCTTGAGAATCAGAACAAGCTGGTATTTTAATTCAGGGTTACAGACAGGAAGAAAACAATGTCCCAACTCAAAGACAGTCAGGCAGGAGGATCATCCATTCAATCAACTTTTTTTTATATTGAGGCCTTCAACTGATTGAATGGGCCTACCCACATCAGGAAAGATGATCTATTTCACTCAGTTCAACAATTCAAATTTCAATCACATCCCAGACATAGGTATATCCAGGATACTGTTAGAGCAAATATCTGAGCACCCCATGCCCACTCAAGTTGACAGCATTTTGTTATCTACTGGCAGCATTTTGTTGGTGAGGCAAAGAATGCAGAGAGACTGTGATTTGTGAACCACTCTGCGGTGATGTATATTGGTTTGGCTGAATGAATGTTTAAAATAAATAGTCACACAGTCCTGCGACATAATGAGAACTTCAACCAGCCTGGATGTGGCCCTGGCCCCTCTTTCCAGAATACTTTCTGCAAAGATGAGCACTTGGCAGCAGGAACCATTCCAGGACCCACAAAAGATACACGCATTCAAAAATCAACAGGTTCGAGACCAGCCTGGGCAACATGGCGAGACCTCATCTCTACAATAAATCAAAAATTAGCTGGGCGTGGTGGCGCATGCCTGTAGTACCAGCTACTTGAAAGGTTGAGATGGAAGGATTGCCTGAGCCCAGCAGGTTGAGACTGCGGTGACCATGAACGTGCCACTGCACGTTCTCCAGAATGGGCGACAGAGTGAGATTCCGATTAAAAAAAAAATCAACAGGAATGGGAAAAACAAAAGGCCCTTAAAGAATATCCAACAGGAAAAAAAAAGCACTACAAAATATCAGCAAAAAATTCAATGAAATGGTCATCAGTATAAAATAAGAGAATGAAGGGATAATATATTGAGACCAAAAAAAAGCAAAACATCTGCTTACAGAGCTCGGAAAAGGGAAAAGGAGCAGGGAAAAAATAAACAAGCATAACAAAAGAAAGGAAGGCCAAATGGAAAGCAACACAAAGAGGAAAGACCTGCACACACAGGAATAGGTGGAGGAAAGCAACAGTTATATAAAAGGGGTTACAGTGTGTTTAAAAGAATCAAGGGAAAATATAGATATGAGAGACAATGGAGATACAACATAAGCATAACTGGGAAATAAAGCATATGTGTGTGCATCTTGTATGCAAGTATATATAATTTTAAAATATTTGTATACACATGAATGTATATATTCCTCTGTGTGTGTATACATGTATACAATTTATCTATGTAGTATACCTTTCAACAAATGGTTTGCTCTCTATGTATAAAACCCCCCCTCTTCTCTCTCATTCTTTCCTCTCTCTCATACACACACACACTCACACACACACACACATATGCACATCTCACACATTCCCCAGAAAAAGCACACAAACATATCCAAGTAAAGTTACTAGAAGAATACACAGGGAACTGATAACACTGCTTATTTCCATATGCAAAAATTGGGTGACTGGGGAATGGTCTTAGCATGTATCACAACATGTATTACATACTCAGTTTGTAAATATATAAATAAATGTGTACATAACAACATTTAATATTTAAGTGGGCATTCTACCATACCCACATCTGAAAAATGTAAATATATGAGAAAATCTTACTAAGCTTTACATTTTAGCTATTAGTTGGCAGGAGATATGAAGGACACTGTAGCATGTTAAATAAAACACCATGATTAAGCAATTGAAAAATCCCAAAGACCAAAACACTACACAGGCCAAATAATATGGTTTCTTTAACAAGTAAATTGCAAAAAAAAAAAAAAGAGATGATGAGAGATTTAATGATTTACATGATGTAAAGGGGATATTATTTTAACTATAACACCCAAACACAACTTGTCTAGAGTTATTGAGATCCAGCTTTAGACTACAAAAAAAATGAAAAAAAAGGATAACTGGACAAAAAAAACCAAGAAAAACTGAACAGAGACTTTTTTATGTCAATGGAAACATACATTTTTAAGATACAAAAATGATTTATGAATATATTTTAAAGAGCCTATCTTTTGACATAAATGTTGAGCAGTGTGCTAAAGAAATGATCAGATTGCTGGGATTTGCACTCAAATAATTTAGGAAAGGGGAGTGAATTGGGTGGAAGCATGGAAGCCATGAGGTTGGTTATGAAATAACACCACAGCGAGGTGGTAGGTCGATAGGGGCCCTCTGTGTTCTCCCACTTTTTTACATGTTTGAAATTGTACATAAAGGATAAAAAAGTAATACTTAACTCTTGAAATCAGTGGAAAGTAATGGTAGTCTTTCTATGAGCATAAAATGACTTTTCATCTCCAGTAACCCTGCTGGTAGAAAAAACCAGACTGGGAAGAGCACTTGGGACACTCTGAACACAAGCATAACATGGAGAGTCTCTGCTGAGACGGTGACTAAGTCCTAGCTTCATGAAATTCTGCTGAGATCAAGTCAAAGCTGGAGAAAGGAGCAGTCTCCCTGATTTCAAGGAGCGAAAAAATGCAGCCTTGGCATTTTATAACTTTCTCATAATCCAGGTGTGATCTCACAGTGTGTCAGGCCAGCCACAATCTGCAACGCCTTCCAGCTCCGAGGCCAGCCCGGGCTCCCCACATATATAAACAGCGGCCGGGAGCCCAGCTCACAGCTCTCTCCTGTCGCCTGTCCCCTTCACTTGCTCCGCGCTCTCCAGCCATCCTGTCCCCCGCAGTCATGTCCAGCAAATCCACCGTGAGGACCCACAGCAGCAGCCGCCGGGCCTTCGGCGCCGGCTCGGCCAGGCTCCCTGGGGTCAGCCGCTCCGGCTTCAGCAGCGTGTCCGTGTCCCGCTCCGGGGGCAGCGGCCTGGGTGGCGTGTGCGGGGGAGCTGGCCTCGGCAGCCGGAGCCTCCACGGCCTGGGGAGCTCCCAGAGGGTCTCCGTCGGAGGGGGCAGCTGCGCCGTCGGCGGCAGATATGGCGGCAGAGTGGGCGGCGGCTTTGGCCTTGGAGGTGGCACCGGGAGTGGATGTGGCTTCGGCGGTGGAGCCGGTGCTGGCTTTGGGCTCGGGGGCGGAGCTGGCTGTGCCGGCGGCTACGGGGGCCCTGGCTTCCCCGTGTGCCCCCCCGGAGGCATCCAAGAGGTCACCGTCAACCAGAGTCTCCTCACCCCTCTGAACCTGCAAATCGACCCCAGCATCCAGCGGGTGCGGACTGAGGAGCGCGAGCAGATCAAGACCCTCAACAACCAGTTCGCCTCCTTCATCGACAAGGTGAGCCAGGAGGCCCTGACCTCCTCGGGCACCTCGAGTCCCCAGACCAGAGAAGCAGCAGCCTTCCTATTAGGGAAATAACGGGAAGGGAGAAGGGGGACGCCAGATGGCTCCGTGTAGACCAGCGGTCTCCAGCGTTTTTGGCATCAGGAACCACTTTCATGGAAGGCAACATTTCCACAAACGGGGTGGGAGTGTTAGGGGAGAATCATCAGGCATTAGAGTCTCATGAATGCCAGCCTAGAACCCTTATGTGCACAGTTCACAATGGGTTCGTGCTCGTATAAGAGCCTAATGCTGCCCCTGACCTCATAGCAGGCCAAGCTCTGCTCACCTTCTGCTGGGCAGCGAGCTCCTAACAGGCCACAGACAGGTACCAGTCTGCAACCCAGGAGTTGGGGATCCCTGGTGTAGACAACAGGCAGCTGATATTGGACACATGTAAACCACAGAATCAATTATGTGGCCCTCACTCCTGCCCAGGAAGAGCTGTGACTTTCCATAACCTAGAATCATAGATTAGAACATGAGAGAATGGAGTGGATTTATTCTTCCCTCTGAAGTGTTTATGAGATTACAAAGAAAATGCCAGTGGAAAAAGGCAGCAAATTACTTTCTGGGGTCTAGATAAACTAATAAGACTTTAGAAAAAGAAATGGAATATTCTGGCAAAATTAAGAGAAAAAGAAAGACCAGAAACATTTATACAATATATAGAAATGCTAATTTATACTAGAAACATAAAGTAACCATAAAATTATAATATTTTAGAATTAAATATTATCATGAGGCAATATTTAACATTTCTTTTAACTGAGATCCTTTTAGTAATAAAAGTTTCATATATCAGGTAAATACTATCCTTAAACTAGATTTGTGTCTGTGCTTGGAAAAAGAAGGGGAAGAAATGTTGAAAGTCACTGATATGCTCATGACTTAGAGGTGAGAATATGTCCATGGTCCAGGAGGGAATACTCCAGTTTGACCTCTGGGGTGCAAAAGGCAAAAGGTTTGGGGGAGAAAAGTCCAGTCCTAGCCTCTATACAAGCACTGTAGCAGCCCAGCCTCATGGAGACCTCCCAGACCTATTAGGAAACTAGTAACACACACATATTTTCCCTTCCTTCCATCAGCTGGACAGTGACCATCTTGTCTCCCCTCCAGGTGCGTTTCCTGGAGCAGCAGAACAAGGTCCTGGACACCAAGTGGACCCTGCTACAGGAGCAGGGCACCAAGACTGTGAGGCAGAGCCTGGAACCTTTGTTCGAGCAGTACATCAACAACCTCAGGAGACAGCTGGACAGCATCCTCGGGGAGAAAGGCCGCCTGGACACCGATCTCAGAGCCATGCAGGACACGGTGGAGGACTTTAAGAACAAGTGAGTTAGAGGGGAGGATGGGCTCGGTTTTCTGAAGTACACATGTCAAGACTTGTGGGTAACCAGGTCTGAATGTGGCCATGCTTCCTAGAAAAACATGGTCATGGAAATGAAAATCACAAATCATTGTCCAGGACCAAACCTGCAAAAACAAAACAGGAGGATGGTGATATAAAAGAGGTAAAAAAAAAAAAAGTAGCAACAGAAATTGTCTTTTAGTCTTTCAGTGGGAGGAAACATCAATTAGGATATATTCCTTTCATGGAAAGTGTTGGATTCCAGGCTGCTTTTGTGTTTCCTCCTGCCCACTGGCTCTATTGTGTCTTACACCTTTCTTCTTGTAGATATGAGGATGAAATCAACAAGCGCACAGCAGCCGAGAATGAATTTGTGACTCTGAAGAAGGTGAGCAGATTAAGCCAGGGGTCAAGTTTGTGTGCTGAAGGAAATCCATGATTGTTTCCCTGCTCCCATGTGAGAGGACAATTGGTGGGGAGTCTAAAAGCTGAGTAGATTGGGAAGGAGGGCTCAGCTGACTCCAAGGTGTCGGCTCTTTCCCCAGGACGTGGATGCTGCCTACATGAATAAGGTTGAACTGCAAGCCAAGGCAGACTCTCTGACAGATGAGATCAACTTCCTGAGAGCCTTCTACGACGCTGTAAGCATCTCCAGTCTCCTTGTACTGACTCTGAGGGGGCTTGCCAAGGGGGAAGATCCTGGTGTTGGGCACCTCTGCAAACATCACAGGACAAGATGGTCTTATGATGTTCTATTCTACAGGAGCTGTCCCAGATGCAAACCCACATCTCAGACACCTCCGTGGTGCTCTCCATGGACAACAACCGTAGCCTGGACCTGGACAGCATCATCGCCGAGGTCAGAGCCCAATACGAAGAGATTGCTCAGAGGAGCCGGGATGAGGCTGAGTCCTGGTACCAGACCAAGGTGAGCAGGGAGTTGGCAACTGATGAAAAGTCCCAGTGGCTCACCTTGAATACTAAGAGGCTACAGACTTCATTGGGAGACGTCTACAGAAAGAAAGATGAGGTCCTTTTACAGGCCATGTACACTGCACTGTTAGAGTCAATAGATACAGAAATTGTTCCCCAGTCTAGAACCTGATGGAAGGGGGAAAGATACCATAGATAAAGTTCTAGTAACCTTTGCTTTTATTTAAACTCTGAACGCTGACTCTTAGAAATAGTACAGATTGTTGTCAGTTACTAATAGAATTAGATATTCTGTGGTCCCATAAGATTTAGTTTCACAATATCTTTTTTTTTTTCTTTTGACTTGGAGTCTTACTCCATGGCCCAGACTGGAGTGCAGTGGCATGCTCACCGCCACCATAACCTTGACCTGCTGGGCTCAGACAATTCTTCCACCTCAGCCTTCCAAGTAGCCAGAACTCCAGGCGCACATTACCACACCCAGCTAATTTCTTATTTATTGTAGAGACGAGGCCTCACCAAGTTGCCCAGGCTGGTCTCGAACCTGCCGGCTCAGGCAATCCACTCGCCTCGGCCTCCCAAAGTGCTAGGATTACAGGCTGAGCCACCAGGCCCAGCCTGATTTCACAATATCTATCGACCTTGTAACATCATATTTCCAACAAACCCTTGAGGAGAAGCCTCAGGTTCAAGTTTAGCACATGCCCGACTCCAATGTAAAAGTAATTGTTCCCATGAATAAATCCATAGACATTGTTTATCTTTCCACCTCCAACTACAGTACGAAGAGCTGCAGGTCACAGCAGGCAGACATGGGGACGACCTGCGCAGCACCAAGCAGGAGATTGCAGAGATCAACCGCACGATCCAGAGGCTGAGATCTGAGATCGACCACGTCAAGAAGCAGGTACGGTAGAGGGCAGTGGTGAAGAAGAGCATTGTCTCCTTGCTAGGCCATCAGGCAGTCATCAACTAACATTTGGGAAAATTCCTGGTAAGGGAAAAAAAAAAACACTAGGGAGTGGAGGTCAAGCAGTTCTTGCCCTCAGGAACTCAGTGGAGACATAAATTCCACTCAAGAAGATAAGACTCTGAGGTGGGAGAAAGCTAGGTCTCAACAGTCTCACATGAGAAGTCATCACTTCACTCAAACATGGTCACAATCTTGTATGAGTGAGTGTGGCAACCACATATGGTCATCAAAATGCATCTTGTTATAACTTTGGAGATAACATTCAGGACAAGTCAGAGTACTCATACTTCCAGTGTGTCTTGTTGCTGTGTCCACTGTGGTGTCTACCTTCTGCAACAAACCACATTCTCATGCAGAGGGTTACTATAAGCAACAAAGGATCTTGACACTTGACTCCCAGACTAGAAAAGTATTGCAGATTGGAAAAATACTGGAGAGGAAGAGTCACAGCTCCTTCTCTGTCACTCTGGGCTCCTGAATTACTCTTCTCTAGGGAAAAAGGAAGTGGGGCTGGTCTCCACTGGAGCAGCAGACTACACGTTCATTCTATTGCTTTCCCCGGCTAGTGCGCCAACCTGCAGGCCGCCATCGCCGATGCTGAGCAGCGCGGGGAGATGGCCCTCAAGGATGCCAAGGGCAAGCTGGAAGAGCTGGAGGACGCCCTGCAGAAGGCCAAGCAGGACATGGCACGGCTGCTGAAGGACTACCAGGAGCTGATGAACGTCAAGCTGGCCCTGGACGTGGAGATCGCCACCTACCGCAAGCTGCTGGAAGGCGAGGAGTGCAGGTGGGTCACTGACACGACCTCATCACACACCCCAGTCCATCTTCAAGGTGTCTGGCCCCAAGCACAGCCTCAAAGTACACTAGCCATGACCACCATTGCTCTCTTTGGAAAATGACTGAAAGAGCAGTTTCCCGTGGGCCCTTCCCCACGCGGATCCAGGGAATGACTCCCTGAGGTCTCACGCTCCCTGTGTTCCTCTCCCGCAGGCTGAACGGCGAAGGCGTTGGACCAGTCAACATCTGTAAGTACCTTTGCTTGCCTTTCTCCCCTGTCCTCAAACTCTTCTGACCGGGCTCAGGCTGACAGTATGAACTCACCATGTCTTCTTGTGTCCTGTCCCTTCCCCTCCATAGCCGTGACGCAGTCTACTGTCTCCAGTGGCTATGGCAGTGCCAGTGGTGTTGGCAGTGGCTTAGGCCTGGGCGGAGGCAGCGGTTATTCCTATGGCAGCGGCTATTCCTATGGCAGTGGTCACAGCCTTGGAGGTGGCTTCAGTTCTGGCAGTGGCAGAGTTCTGGGCGGTGGCCTCAGCTCCGTGGGAGGCAGCAGTTCCTCCATCAAATACACCACCACCACCTCCTCCAGCAGCAAGCCCTGAGGTCCTGCCACCAGCTCTAGGTCCCACAGTCCTCAGTCCCTTCTTTGACCACAGAGTTCCCTCCTTGGTGGCTGGTCCTCTCCTGGCCTCTGGTCTCTGCTGCTGAGTTGGAGCTGAGCATGCCAGAGGCCCTCCCTTCTCTCATCAATATCTGCCCCTTCCATCTCACCATCAGAAGGGGAATGCCTGACTCTAAATCATGATTTAATTGTAACTGGTGCTTCAATCTGCTGCTAAATTATCAACATCTTTCTCCTATTTCCTACATGTGAAAGGAACCTAATAAGAAAATTATCTCTGCCCATATCCATTACAGAAAATCCTGCCTGGGTATTACTGAAGATCAGGTCAACTCCCCTGTGATGTCTGTGGGCCCCCCAAATTTCCCTCTTTTACAAGTGTCATGACCCTCCCTTTCAGAGTTCACGGAAGCACGAGTGATCAGGCCTATGATGTCCTATGTGTATCCCTGTGACAATTTCTCTGCTCTTTGCTCCCTTGTAATTGCTAAATAAAGCAGATTTCAAAATAATGCATGGTTCCAATGTTTCTTCAGCTTTTTCAACTGATCAGTGCATTTTTATTTGTAAAAGATAATCCATTCCCCATACACAAAACTCCTCTCCCTCTGAGAGGTGCAACAGACAGCATTATGGCATCCTGATGATCAGGGTCTCTTCCACCTCTGTATTTGGCAAGTGGAGTCAAAATTGTCTTGTCCAGGGGTTCCCAACCCCCAGGGCCAAGGATCGGTACCTGTCTGTGGCCTGTTAGGAGCCAGGCTGTACAGCAGGAGTTGAACAACACACAGATGGAATTCTGTCTACTGTCAGATCAGAGACGGCATTAGATTCTCATAGGAGTGTGAACCCTATTGTGAATTGCACATGCAAAGGATTTGTGTTGTGCAATTCTTATGGTAATCTTTTTTTTTTGAGTTGGAGTCTCACTCTGTCACCCAGACTGGAATGCAGTGGCCGCTCCCAGCCACTGCAGCCTCGACCTGCTGGGCTCCAGCTATCCTTCTGCCTCAGTCTTCCAAGTAGCTGGAACTACAGGCGCACTACCACACCCGGCTAATTTTTTTGATTTATTGTAGAGATGAAGTCTCGCCAAGTTGCCCAGGTGGGTCTCGAACCCATGGGTTCAGGCAATCCACTCACCTCAGCCTCCCAAAGTTTGGGATTACAGGCTGAGCCACCGAGCCCGGCTCTTATGGGAATCTTAATGTCTGATGATCTCTCCCACTCCTGCCTGTGGAACAATTGTCTTCCATGAAACCAGTTCCTGATGCCAAAAAGGTTGGGGACCACTGGTCTTGTCCACCCTCATTGTACACTGTTGTCACTGTCCCTACTGGGAACTAGCAGTCAAGTTCTTCTGACCTCTATAAGATCACTTCTTCCCCTGTACCAGTGGTCAGCCTAAATGCTCAGGTAGAGAAATATATTTCTGGTCAATTAGAGCAAAAGCTATTTGATAATAAAATAAGATACTTGATTTAGACTTAGAATTGCCTCTTGATCCAGAAAATTACCTGACAAGGCGTATGAAAAGCAATCAATGTGTGTCTACTTCTGAACTGAATTCTTACTTCTAGAAGTGTGCCCTGCAAAAATAGTGCAAATGCAGAAGGCTGTACATACATGGATGTGAATCACAACAATCTGCACAACAGGAAAATGAGAGACATTCATGCTGGTCAAGTTAAGGGTCCAATGAGTCAGGCTGAAACACAGATGTTAATTTTGTTTGTTTTCCATTTGTTTTCCATATTTGAAAGCACTGGGCCCAGACATTTATATTGGTTAATTCTGTTAGTATTTGGGAATGAAATGGTACCAATCCTCTACAATAGGAAATAGAAGCAGAAGGAATACTTTCCAACTCATTCTATGGAAGCCAGTATTGCTATGATATCAAAAGTAGATAAACACATTTTGAGAAAATAAAACTACAGACCAATTTCTCTTATGAACTTAGACAAAGATGCTCAACAAAAATATTAATAAATAGAATCCTATCCAGAATTATACACCATGACTAAGCAGGATTTATTCTAGATCCACAAGGCTAGTTTACTACCCAAAAGCAATCAATACAACCTAGCACATCAAAGGACTAAAAAAGAAAAATCCTATGACTATACTAATGAATGCAGAAAAAGTGCATGACACAACCCAATACCTACTCCTATTAAAAAAAAAAACGCGGGTTCGAGACCCGCCTGGGCAGCGAGACCTCATCTCTACAATAAATAAAAAAATCAGCCGGGCATGGTAGCGCATGCCTGTAATTCTGGCTACTCGGAAGGCTGAGGCGGAAGGATTGCCGGAGCCCAGCAGGCGAGGCTGCGGTGGCCGGGAGCAGCCACTGCACTCCAGTCTGGGCGACAGAGTGAGACTCCAACTCAAAAAAAAAAAAAAAAAAAAAAAAGCCAGGCAACTTTCTCAATTTGGTAAAGAGCATCTAAAAAAATTATATCACTAACATCATAGTTAATGGGGAGAGACTGGACCCTTATCCCCTAGATGGAGAACAAGGTAACCATGCCCTGTCTCCCCACTATTATTCAGATTGTGCTGAAAGACCCAACTAGTGCAACAAGGTGATAAAAGGCAAAAGTCGTTATGCAGATTAGACATGAAAAATAAAACTGTATTTGTCTCATAGGACCAAACATATTCTCATGTCTGACTGGTATAATGTCTTCTCTCACTGAAAGCTTTGGAGAGTCTGAGATCCAAGAGCTGTGACTCTTATCTAGCTCCGTGGCTCCTCTGGCTTTAGAAAGTAGGGGTAAAGCAGAAAAGCCATCCCCCTGTAGGACTCTGAGGTATCCCCCACAGATGTCCCAATTCCCTGACCGTCTACTGTCTCCTGTCTCCTCACCCTTCCTCAGTAGCCCCTCCATTCAGGGCACTGGCATCTGACGTCTGTCTCCCTTCACTTAGGAAACTCTTCTCCATCAATTATAAAAAGGGAGGACCTTATTTTCCTGCTCCTGCTTCTAAAACAGAATTTATCTGGATGCTTGTAAAGGGCTTTCTTTGCCCCCTTTCTCTAATGTTCTGTTGCCTTTGCCTAATCTATTTCTCTTCATAACACGTTGAGAAAGTTTTTTTAAAAATTCAGACTTTGAAGCTATACCCTGCCATTCATCAAGGAATAACACAGATAAAGCCAGCTGTGAAGTTAATAGAAAAGAACATTTTCCCAAGGGTAAGTTATAGCAGCAATGTGCCATAAATCCCCCTTTCTTTGAATGACACCTTTCTCCTCCTCCTCCTCCTCCTCCTCCGCCTCCTCCCCCTCCTCCTCCTTCTCCTTCTTTTTTTTGGAGTCTCAATCCATCACCCAGGCTGGAGTGCAGTGGCACAGCCACTGCCACTGCTGCCTCGAACTGCTGGGTTCAGGCGATCCTTCCACCTCAGCTTTCCAAGTAGCTGGAACCACAGGTACGCACCACCATGCCCTGCTAATTCTTTTGTTTTCTTGTAGAGATGAGGTCTCACCATGTTGCTCAGACTGGTCTAGAACCCCTGAGCTCAGGTAATCCTCTTGCCTCCACTTCCCAAAGTGCTGGAATTACAGGTGTGAGCCACTCCGCCCGACTGAATGACAACTCTCTTACGCACTGAGAAACTTTGTTCTCTAAAACCAGAGACTGTCAGAAACTATTTGTAATCAAATCAAGAAACGAAACCCTCCATAGGCCCTAGAAGATCTATGTTGCTTTGACACAGAGGCAGCCTCAATTTCCAACCCAGAAGAGCTTCTGATAGCCACGTCCAGCTGAATTTTATTGCTTCCAAGGAAATAAGACCACGAGTTCACTCTGCATTTTAGACCTGATGTGACCCCTTTGCACACAACTCTACTTCATGTAAATTTTACCCAAACTCTTCTCTTTTCCCAAATTCTGGCAGCATTCTCTTGCCCTGGCATGGAGATCTGCTCTGCAACCCCTCTGCATGTGGTCTTCTCCGTACAATGAGTCAAGAAACCTAACTTGGTCAGACTACAGCCTGACCGGGGTTAAGGCATCCTTCTCACTAGCTATACTCTTCTGATATTAACCGGTTGGTCATCTGTTTCCCCCACTGGAATGTCAACTCTGTAGAGTGAGAACTTCATCTTAGACCAAACCTAATGTCACGCAGGCATATGCAGGTTGATAGCTATAGTTATTATATGTATTTATTATATAATATTACAAGAATAACATTAATACTTATAGTAAATATAAATATATAACTAAACATATGTAGAATGCTTAATTTTGAGTAAGGAAGGAGGAGGAATGTATCTATAAACATGATTGCTTGTTTTTTTTTACTTTATATTTTAATTTTATATCATTTCTTTTTTAATTTTTTATTTTAAAGATGTGAGGTACAATTCAGGGTTAGGTATACAAATGTTCATTATACAGGCACCCTTGTTGACGAGGTGTGCCCCTCCCTCCCCTGGCAGTTTCCCTCAACTACCGACCCAGTCCCCTCTCCTCCCCCTACTGGCAGTTTCCCACTACTGCCAATCCCTTTCTTTTAGTACTATGATAATTGTTCAAGTGCAAAGATAACACAATAATAATTGTTCACAGCAAAGATAACACAATAATAATGATCATTCCTGCCATCAAAATTCGTTTTTTTACTATAATTTTCCAATAAAAGGAGCCAGATCTACTAGTGAGAACACATGGTACTTTGTTCTTTGTTTCTGTGATAGATCACTGAGTATGATCAACTCTAAATTCATCCAAGTTGCCGTGAAGTTCATATGTTTGTCCTTCTTTATGGCTGCATCATATTCCATTGTGTATATGTACCACATTTATTTTATCCAGTCCAGCTTCAATGGACAGCATGGTTGGCTCCATGTTTTTGTTATTGTGAATAGAGCTGCAACAAACATGCATGTGCAGGTATATTTGTGGTAGAATGATTTGAGTTCCTCTGGGTATATTCCCAATAGGGGGATTGCTGGGTCATATG